GACATGAGCTTCTTGAATGGCAGCCTGTAACCTTTAAGCTGGGCCCCCCCCAGGAGGCCTCCTCAGTCCCAATCACCTCCAAGCTGCCCCAGTCTTCATCATCCCATCTGTCAGTAGCACTGCTGTCCTCTTCTGTGTCCTTGTCCTCCTCTTGTATCTCCCAGTGGCCTGAAGTCGTCGGTGTGGCAGGGACAGTGGTGGGGGCTGGGGCAGGAAGTCCTGGGGAGGAGAGGCTCACTGAGTTCCCACACACAGGGCCCCAGTAAGGTCTCAGAACAGGGCAGAGGTTGCTGGGGGTGGGGGCATGGAGGGGAAGCTCTCAAGGAGACTATACCATACCCTGTCCCCTATGTCCCCATCACCATCCCCAGGAAGTTAACAGCTCCTGGGTGCCAGCACACCCAAGCCCTCTCAGTCACTGATACAGCCAGTCTGGGACACTCACCCTCAGGCATGGGTCTCTGGGGGACGTTGGTCTCTGCTGGGGCAGCCGTGGGGTGTGCACGGATCAGCTTAGAGGTGAGTGAGGAGACCCCTGTAACGGCCCAGCCTGCCCAGCTGGCTGCAGCTCCTCCCATTCCAGGGCTGGAGGCTGCATGGACATCCTTCTCTGGGCAGTGACAGGAGAGACAAGTACAGACACCTCAGGCTTCCATGGAGAGGGTGATAGGAGGGCAATAACTGAAACAGAGCAGCCTGTAGTGGGCTCTCCTCCAGGCCTGTGTTCTCCCAACTGTGAGATGGGGGGAGGGGCACTGGTGTCAAGTCTGTCCTCCAGGGTTCTTCCACCTCTCACGTACTCCAGTGAGGTAGGAGGGAGCCATGACAGGTGACGGTCGAGAATATGGCAAGAGGAAGAGGGAACACGAGTGTGGGCCACTCACCCACTTCAGCCAGCTGGGTGGGGTCCTCTGACACAGACTCCAGTTTGGACAGGAAGCTTCGAATGGCCTTGAAGGCCTGTGGGGTAGAAAGGGGCAGAGCTGGGGCCTCCAAGGTTCCCGTGAGCCTGCCAGGCCAGCTAGGGCCCAGGTATCCCCCAGAGCCCCAGCTCCAGGGCTCAGCCCCAGTGGTGCCTCACCTGGTCCCGCACAGATTTCTCAGGATCCACAGTGAGGCCGCAGAGCACAGGCAGGATCTTGTGGGCGCAATCACTCATCGAGTAGAGGTTGTGGGTGGCAGCGAAGCCCAAAACACCCGCAACCCGGGATGGTGCAAACGGGTCCTTAGTGGCCCGGCTAAAGGCGGAAGTGAGGACCCTGTGTCTGGTCTGGGGTAGGATGGGGAGAGGACTCCTGAGTATAGGGTCAGTACTGGAGCACAGAACTGCCAGGCCTGACTTCCCAGAACAGAGACCATCAAAGTCTAAAAAATGTGACTTAAGCACTAACAATGGGGAGAGTTTACTTAAAACTCTGGACCTTGACTTCTCCCAGATCACTGGGCTCATGCTGCCTCAGAGAGACAGGGGCTGGAGTAGCAGCTGCCTTAGGGCTGGGGCCAGTGCCTCCTTTCCCACCTGCCCTGATGACCTGATTCATTCATTCCTGTTAAGTGTCTGGGTGCTGCAGTTGTCTGCATTTACAGATCCTGACTGAGGGGAAGGGATGCAAGGCCTTGGGGGCAAGCAGCCCGGGCTGTGTGACCTGGGGCAACTCACTCCACTCAGACACTGGGGATGGAGCACCCAGGGCCTAGCCTCTGGGAGAATAACAGCTCCCACACAAGGAGACCTGGCCCTGGAGGACTTGGCTGTGGTCCCATGATGGTGACAGAACTCGTGGCACCTGTGCAGGACACTCACGCTGGCACTGAGGTAGGAGCCAATTTTGCCCAGGCAGACGGTGGTGTTGCAGCGGATGGGGCCCTGTTCGTCCTTGGCCTGCAGCCGCGCGAAGTGCTTCATCAGCTCCACATTGAGGTTGGCCTCGTTCAGCTTCGGGGCCAGGAGCAGCATGGACTGCAGGGCAGGAGCCAGTGGAAAGTGTGGGCCGGAGCAGGCAAAGGGCACACATAAGAGCGGCCTCCCAGGAGGGTACGGAGGCCACCAGTGTACTGGGTGCTGAGGACACCTGCCAAGGCCCTCCCAAACCTACCTCCCAATCTGGTCCTGGCCTCTAAGCAAAATGCTGAGGAAAGGGCCCCCCATTTCTCTGTCTCCATTACAGTCTGCAGTCCTGTCTCCCAGCCCTCTCCTTCAGCTCCCCTGGTGCACTCTACTCAAACCTTCACAAAAACACCCCCACAGACCCTCTACCGGGTGGCTTGGGATGAGGTCACCAGTAACCTCCATGTTGCTAAATCCAACGGCCAGTTCTCCATCTTCACCAAATCTGACCCCTTGGCAGCTTTGACACCCCCAGATTCTCTCTCCTTGAAATGTTAGTATCTGTTCTTCCAGGACACACCCTCTCCTGGTTCTCCTCTGACCTCGCCGGCTGCCCCTTCTCAGTCTCCTTTTGCTGAGATCTTACTGTTCAGACCCCAGAGCTACTCCGCAAGCCTCTTCTTTTTTACACCTCAGCCTAGGTGAGCTCACCCATCTCATGGCTGTAAAGGCCCTTGTTAGCTGACAGGGCCCAGATGGGTACCTCTAGCCCAGACTTCTTTCCTAAATTTCACACGCGCATAACCGCTGGCCGACTAGACACCTCCACCTGGCTAACAGACATGGCCAAGACTGGGCTCAATTTCCTCCCACAAAACTGTGCCTCCCAGTCTTCTCAGTAAACGGCAACTTAATCTTCCAGTCTCCCAGGCCAGAAACCTTGGAGTCATCCTTGATTCCAAATCCATCCATCGGCAAATACCGTCAGCTCCACCTTTAGAATGTGGCCTGTTCTCCCCACCTGCTGCTACCACATGGATCTGAGCCACTGTCATCTCTCACCTGGGCCACTGTAATAACCCCTAACAGTGTCCCAGCTTCCACCCTTGCTCTGAGAGTCAATTCTCCACATAGCAACACAGTGTGATCCTTTTAAAACAAGTCAGATCTGGTCAGTGCTCTGCTCAGTCCGCCAATGGCTCCTGTCTCACTCCCACTGAACGCATCAGGTCCTTGCCATGTCCTACGAGGCCCTGGCCCCCAACCCCACCACACCTCTCAGACTCCACTTTCCACAACCATGCCCCTTCAGCCACACTGAACCTCCTGCTGCTACTCCTACACTCCAGGTACACGCCAGCCTCAGCACTTCTGCACATGCTGTCCCTTCTGCAGGGAACACATTTCCTCCAGATCTCCATGTAGCTCAATCCTTCACCTCTTTTCACCATTTTTCCTTAAATGACACCTCTTCAACAATGTCTTCCCTGTTTTTAAAACTGCAAACCCTACTCTTCACACTTTCCATCACTTTCTAACGTAATGTATTTTTTTCTAATTCTATTTATTGTCTGCCAAGCCCACTCCCCATCTCCTTGAAAAGCAGCTCCATGAAGGCAAGAAAGCATCAGAACTCGGGATGCAGGGCGGGCCAGGCACAGGGAGGTGCTCAGCGAGTGTCTGAGGAACAGAGGACTGTTGGCCACGCCTACCCTGTTCCCCCTGCCTCGTTGCCTCACTATACCCACAGCCTGGACTCAAGTGCAGTACAGTGCCTGCAGTACAGTGCCCCTCCCATAATCTGCTTGACCCACAGGCCAAAACCAGGGCCTCTATGTCCTCTGGTGAGCCCCCTCTAAGCCCTGGAAAAAGAGGTGGCCACTCTGGGCCTCGTCACACTCACCTTGACTGTCTGCTCCCGGATGGCAGGGTTGGTGTCTAAGAAGCCATGTACAACATGGGGAAAGATCTGAGTGTTGACTGTTGGCTCATCAAGGTATTGGATGAACTGCTCCATCTGTGACCCGGGTTGGGGCATGAGAACACGGTCAGCCCTGCCACCCCTCACCAGAGCCATGGAGCCACCCTTGGCATGGTTTCTCCACTGGCAGGCACTGGCTAGCCAGGTGAGTCTCCTGAGCCCCTCACCTCACAACTGGCCTCAGGCCCACCTGGAATGATGAGGAAAGGCCAAGAGGGTGCTGAGAAGAGCCAGGGACTGCTCAGCAGCCCAAAGGGTCACACCCTCTCATAGAACCTCCAGTGCCTTTTCTATAAAAAGGGGTAGAGCCACTGCTCAGAGAAGTGCTGCGAGGAGGGCTGGTGTGCTTGGCAGTTGGGGGAGGAATGGGATACCTGCGAGCTACCAGGTACTTCTTGAGTCACAAGTGAACCCCACCCTCGATCCCATCAATCCTGTCTGATGCTTCCAGCTGCCCTGGGGTTGGCGGGAGAGACTTTATCCCCACTCTAGATGGCTAGAGCGACCAAGCCAGGAGACTGGATGGTGTGTGGGGAAGCATTTGAGCCCTGCAGCCTGGGAAGACTGGGCATTCCCAAAGCTGCCAATGAGTGCTGTGATTATTTTGACTTCCTGAGAGCACAGCCTTAATGGTCCCTCACCCTGGCCGCACAGAGAGGGGTTTCTGGGGTCCCTGTGCAGCCAGGGCAGGGGCGTGAGCTACCTGCCTGGGGCTGGAGGTGAAGCAGCAGCCTTCCCTGCAGCCAGGGTGGGGTCTGGGTGGGGTTGCAGGGGGCAGGGTCTGGCCACAGCCCCTACCTGCTGTAGAAGGCGGATGCGCATGGCCCGGTCGGTTGATGAGAACATCTTGACAACAACGGGGATGATCTTCTGCTGATACTCCTCAGTGCTGAGGAACTTACCCACCTGAGAGAAGGAGGGGAGGAGGGGTTCAGTTACATCCAGGAGTGGGATGACTTCAGTGGGCTCAGTTAACTTTCTCAGGCTCCCTGCTACTTTCCCAGGGTGGGAATGGGTGGGGCAGGCATTTCCGCAGCAGCCCCTCTGTCCATACTCATCTGTTAGCCCTGCCCTTAACCTTTCTGGGTCAACACCTCTCTTAGGAGGCTCACTAAAGCTCACTACTCCTCCTTATAATCAGGCACCTAGATGCCACACGCGCACAGAACTCTGCCTATAATTTCTAGGGGTTCCCAGCTATGTAGGATTTACTTGCTATCTTCCCCACTTCCCCCATGCCAAGTTCCTTGGGGGAAAGGGTTTTCCCATGGTGGGCCGAGCAGGGTGTGGCAGGTGCCCAGATAATGGCAGGCTGGGTCTGAGAAAAGGGGAGAGGATCCAGCCCCTAAAGCCAAGAGAGCTGAGTGCCACTCGAGGCAGGAAGGAAAGTGGGTCACTCCTGGGCCCTGGGGGCCAGAGTGCCCAAGTCAGACAAGGGAGGCTGTCTTGAGGAAATACAGGAAGGGCTGTAGGCTGTGAAGCAAGAATTTTGGAGGCACAGGGTTCCCCTTCCCAAGGTCAAGAATTCCCCACTGCTTCCCTGAAAGTGGGTCAGGTGGCCCTGGCTTGCTGAAGGGCTGGATGTCAAAGCTCTTCCTCACGTGGGCTTGGGTCTGCCTAACGAGGCTGCCCTTCCCAGGATGCCGTGGAGGGCTGGCCCCACCCATGGCCTTCTCTTCTGCCCTTCAGACCTACCCAGCCAGTCTCTGGGCCCTACAGTTTCTGTGGCTCCAGGACCCGCTTACCTTGAAGAGGGGCGTGAGGACAACAGCCCCCGCGTTGCCAAACTCGAAGGCAGTCAGTAGCTGGGGCAGCACCTTGTGCCGGCAGAAATCCTCAGGGAATGAGTCTAGGCTCTTGCTCAGCTCTTGGAAGAACTTTTGCTTCTCAGCTGGCTCTTTGATCTAGGGGAGAGAGCACAGGATACAGGGAGGAAATCAGCCTGGTCACAGTCTCTACAGCCACAGGCAAGGACAGGGGCTCACCTCCAGCCCAAAGGAAAACTGAAGTTTGTGGGCTCTGGAGTCATACTGGCTGGGTTCAAATCCCAACTCTCCCATTTACTAGCCATGTGACCTTCAGCAAGTTCCTCCACCTGTAAAACAAGGACTAACTATACTGCCTCATAGAACCATTCTGGGGATTCAACCAGAAAATGCACACAAAGCTGCCAGGCACAGTGCCTGGCACACTGCAGGTGCTCATTTCGTTAGTGACTGTCCTTCCCCATCACTGCCACCTGAACTGTTGCTATGACAGCAGCCACTAGGGGGATCAAGCCCTTTATCAGCAGGGCTTTACTCCTCCAGAAAACATGCATGTGAGTGCCATTAACCCCATCACACAGATTACGAAACAGGCTTAGAGGGGTGAAGGGCTTACTCTGTCACCCTGACCCTGGCTGGGTTGGGCACACTTGTGACTCCACACTGGGTGGGGTTGCTGGCAGTCTATGGGAAGGCAGGAATGAAGTACAATTCACCCCTAGGCCTCATCCTCGCACTGTGTCCAAATGGCCAGGCTGTTGGCTCAGTGGTCTCCTTCAGTCCTCCTAACCTCCCTGAGGCTATAATACCCACAACTGCCCATTTCCTGAGCACAGACTTGTGTCAGGCAGGATTACACAGGCAAAATAATCCTCCCTACAACTGTATGAGGTAAGTGCCAGCAAAATCCATTTAATCCAACAAGGAAGCTGAAGCACAGAGAGGGCAAGGAACTTGTCCAAAGTCACACAGCTAAGCAGCAGTCAAGGAAGGGTGTGACACAGTGGTGTGGCACCTCAGCTGTGCTGCACCCTGTGAAGAAGTACTGTCATTTCCCCATTTACAAATGAGGAAGCTGAGGCTCAAGGTTACCAGCCAAGAGTGGCCGGGCAGGATTATAACCCTGTCCTGTATGCTTCCAAAGTTCCTGTACACTCCATTTGCCCTCAGAGTCATAGCTGCTGCCTGGCCAGCAGCGGTGACCTCTAACTGGGGTTGTGGAGCACCTGGCTGGCCCTCCAGCAGCTCAGTCTAGCATGGGAGGCAGGCCTGGTGCTCTGATGACAGGGTTCAGGGGGAAAAAGGCCCAGAGAGAGGCCAAATCATGTCCAAGGTCACACACTGAGACAGTAACAGTGGGGCTCTCTCCATCGCTCTGCTAGATCCAATGATGGGAAGAGGGGCCTCTGGGCACTGCCCTCCCATATTCTCCTCAAGACTGGCCAGAAACAGCCTATTGCCTATGGGGCACATTTTAAGGAGAAGGGAGGCAGGGCAGAGCCAGCCATGTGAGAACTCCATGTAATAGAGTTCATGCTGCCCCTACACTGCCCAGGAGGCAGCAGGGCTCAGTGTTTCCAGCACTTTCTCCTTCAAGATGCAGCTCAGTCTCCCCATCCTCTGAAGGACCCCCCAGCCCCTATCTGAGTCAAGACTCCACAAACCATCGAGGTCTCTGGAAGTGTCTGTCACACTCCCCCATTCCAGATTCTCAGTCACCTCTCTGTGTGCCCCACACAAAGCTAGGTCAGAGCAGGTGTCCAGGGCACAGCCCCCACCTTCACTCCCTGCAAAAACCCTATGGGTCAGCAGATACTATAGTTACCCCATTATGCAGATATGGAAACTGAGGTTCAAAGAGGTCAAGCCGAGGGCTCCCTCCTCACCATCCACCATCTTTCCATATGCTGTTCCTTCTGCCTGGAATCTTCTTCCCCACTTACAGTCCCCATGACTCCCACCTTCGCACCCTTCAGGTCTCAGCTCAAACATCACCCTTGAGACAGCCCTTCTCTAAGTTCTCTAGTCTCTATATTTTCCTTCCTGGCACTTATCCCCATCCCAGGGAGCACACATTTCCTCATTTATGTGTTTTCTGGACCTTTTGCCCCAGCGAGAGTCCCTGAGGGGAACTGGTCCATTTCCCCCTGCTGGATCCTTGAGGGCAGGGATCTGGGTCTGACTCTCCCTCCTCACCTTGCTACCCACACCACAGCCCAATCTCAGGGACGTGGCCAGAATGCATGTGTGCAGTTAACAGTGTGCCAGGAGCAGTCACTAAGCACCTACTATGTGCCAGACACTATACTATGCACTTCAAACTCACTGAATCCTCACTGTGCTCCTTTGAAGTAGGTACTATTATTAGGACTGAGCTTCAGCCAAGGGAAGTCACACATAAATAACAGTTGGAGCCTGGGTCTGAACCCAGAGAACCTAGCTCCACACGCTTGTCTCCAAGGGTCTAATTATCAGGGAACCTACAAAGTGGGGAGGGGGGAAGGGGTGAGGAATGTAGGGTCAAAGCCCAGGGTGGGGCAGGGGGGTCACCTGAATCTCTTCCAGGAAGAGGTTGGTCTCCACGAAGCGGTTGTTCATGAAGCCACCAGGCGCCCGGCAGTTCTGCAGGAAGCGGGCTGGGTTGGGACGCAGCTTGGGGTTGGCTCCAACCAGCTCGCAGTAATGGGGCACCAGTGATTTGGGGATCTGTAGGAGAAGCATAGGGTCAGGGCAACGCTGGCTGGCTGGAGGGGTAGGGGCTAGAGATGGGCTGGACACTTACCTTCCCAGGGTTTCGCAGGGCAGCAGCCCGAGGTAGGGGTCCATTGAAGACTTCCCAGATGAGGCAGCCCAAGCGCCACATGTCAGCTGACCTGAGGCAGTGACCAGAGCTGCTCAAGGCCCTGCCACCTGCCAGCATAGGCCTCCAACCTACCCTGGGCACCAAACATTCACTGCACGGCAAACCCTGGGCTGTGTCCCTCAGCTGATCCTCCCACCAGCCCCAAGAAGTGTGTTTCATCAGCTCCATTTGACAGATAAGGAAACTGAGGCTCAGGGAAGCAAGGACATCCACCCCAGGTCACACAACTTTCCAATTCAGAACCACTTAATCCCAGACTCTGTGTTGATCCTGCCCCTACCTCCCTGAGGATCCTGGGAGCAAGGAGTAGGCACCACCCTGAGGACCCTTGTTCCCTCCCCAGCTGGGCAGCAGAGGACAGGGGAGTGCAAGCTAATCTAGGGGTCCTGGAACTGCAGGGGCTTCCAGAATAGGGCAGGTTGGGGCATCCTGTCACCCACCACTTCTCTCTGACCGCTCTGCCACTGCCATCAGCCAACTCCGGGGGATCGTACTGCTCAAGCTCAGGGACCCCCTTGAGGGGAGGTCCCCCACCATTGCCCTGGGCTGAATACATGTAGTCCAGGCCCCCAAGCTTCCACTCGCCAGCACGGTCCACGAACACAGCAGCCATGCAGACATTGTTGTGGATGAGGCTGCAGTCGTTGACCAGGAAGCTGAGGGCTTTCTGGGGGCAGAAGGAGCCATCACACCCCAGTACCTGAAGCCCCCCACCTCTGCTCTCATCACCACTGCCCCCCACCTCACCACAATTTGGTGCAGCCCCCAGGAGAGCTCCAGCTCCTTCAGGCCACCAGCCTCCGCTCTCGCTTTGAGGTATATTCTCAGCGGGGTCACAGCCTCTGTCACTACATGGAGGCATTTGTCTGTCTGAAGAAAGGGACACGGGGTATCAGGGCAGGATGGAGAGAGAGGAATGGGAGATGAGAGACATGATGGGGAGAGAAGTGGAGAAGGGGAAATCAAATCTGGGGGTACTGAGGCAGAAGGGCTGGAAACAGGGACAGGAAGACAGAAGACAGGAGTGGGAGGCAGGGAGAAAGTGAGGGGCAGAGATGGGGCCGACTGAGCAGCAGGTAGGTACCTCCAGCCCATCGATGTAGGCCAGAATGTTGGGATGCCGGAGAGTTTTCAGGCGCTTGAAGGCAGCTTTGGCCACCTGGGTCTGCTCTTCCGCGCCAGGCTTCACGTCATATACGAAGATGGACACCGGGCTGCCTGTGGCCTGAGGAGGGCAGAGGCCTCAGAGATGTGGGCTGGGCCCCAGGCTGACCACTCCACCTCCAAGATGGTCCCCGGAGCTGTTAAGTGCAGAAAGGAAGGGCCGGGCCGGCCAGGGCTCTCCCCAGGTCAGCTCTTGGGGACTGAGTGGGACCACGTAATCCCGGTCGGATAGGCCTCTCGGTCCCTCGGTCCTTCCGCCCGCCACGTCGGCACTGCCCGTC